GTGGTATTATCCCACCCGAGCCGTATCGGGTTTATCCCAGGACGAGCTCAATGTCTGTCTTGTGCTTGAAAGCGCTCAGCGTGCAGCCTGGGTGTAGCTGCTGTGCGGTGCTTTGCTCCGGGTTAGGGTGTTTATAAGACAGAATTGGAGATGTGACCCCATGGGCTGTTTGTTTGTTTTCTGTTTACTTACAGCTTTTGAATTTGGGGTTTGGTAGACTTTATCCAGTTTGAGCATTGAGAGACCAGAATTATGAAGTAGTAAAATTGTGTCTGTGTACAGTCAGACTATACACTAACTGATTAAAAAGACAGTTTTAATAAAGTCTTAGTTTTTAAAGCTTTAATGGCTTGTGATTGTTCCAGAACTCACAGTAGAGAATAGGTGGCCAGAAGAAGAAGAAAAACCACCCCAAAATAAGCCTCATAAGCTAAAAGACCAGATGAGAGGATTAATTTGTCTTTTTTTTGTCTAAACATGTTTGAAAAGCCTTTGAAGTAAAAAGAAAAAAAAAAAAAAATACCTGGAGAGCACATTCAGGTACTCATATGTCTATAACCAACTGTCCTGGCAAGAAGGAAGGGGTTTTTCTTTGTTTTAAAGCAAGTGTGTTTATGATGTTTCCGCAAAGCCTTGCGGTCATCCTGATCCTCATTTTGACTCTAGAAATGTAGGTTTTGGGGAGGGTGGGGAGAGGGAATGGACCTATTGCAACAAGAACTCTCAGAATTGCAGCGGGTATAGTGTCCTCCTGAGCTGAAGTACAGCAAAACCCAGATCCCTGGATCTGTTTAGACTTGTATGTTTCATGAGTGATAAGATCAGAAATTATGTGTTTTTAAAGATTCTGTGGAAAATTTTGCTGCCTTCAACGAATAATTTAAGCTTGTTATGTATTTTGGCAGGGGCATATTAAATAGTAACTTCTAAGGCCCCAAAATTGATCGCATTTTGCTTAATTAAATGTTGTCACTGATTATAATTAAGGCTACTTGAATAAATAATTTTTATTTGGAGCTGATAAACATTGGAGGTATATACTTTTACTCTGTTGCTTCATAGTCCGATATATTTTTAGTGTCCTGGTGTTTAAAAAGATTAGTTGAGCAGTACAGAACGGCTAATTTCTTAAGGAAATGTGATTGATTTAGCTGCTCTGAGAGCTTCATTTCCCAATGTGTATTTAGCAGTTTAAGAGGATGTTGTTACAATTGATTGGTGTCCAGCTGATGAAAGATAGTGAGAGGTTAGTAGTGCAGAAGCAGTGTCTACTGTCTTCTCTTCAGAAAACTGTATTTCCATTGTTTACATAAAATCAAACATAAGAATAGATTTTTTTTCCTAAATACTTAAAGCTAAATTCTGATTTCTGCCTTGTTTCCTCACTCTTCCAGGCAAGGACTCAGTGGTGATGCTAGGAAGCAGTCACATGCTCAACGAGCCTGTGATGGACAAGGCACATGGTGTTAATGTGTTAGCTAAGCGGTTTGACTGAGTGGTTGAAGTCAGCTATTAGATTTTTGGTCTAGACTGCGGGGGCTGGATTTAATTTCCAGTTCTAGCAAAGACTTTTTGTCTGAGCAAAATGACTTACTCCTTGTGGCTCAGGTCCCCATCTGGAAATACAGCTTACTGCACACTGCTCTGGAGGTGTGTGTTCTCAGTAATAGCCCTTTCCTTCTTTTGAAAGGGAGAATAAGTATAAGAGATTATAATAATAATAAGGTACAGTAAGTAGTCTATAGCTTTAATGTAAAGAATCTACAAACAACAAATAGTTGGGTTGTCTGTGCAAGTCCAGAAGTGTGTGTTTCTTTTTCTAAAGCACGAGGGGAAAATTGCCTGAATCGGGACAGTGTGACTGGGTGTCCCGTGGTTACTGTGCAGGTCGAAGTGCGTTGCTGCAGTAGATTGGACTGCAGTCCTGTAACAAGAGTACTCTTCTAGCAGAATACCTACTTAACTGCAATTATTTTTCTTGTTACAGCTTGAAATGTGCCACTCTAAAGTAGAACTCCATTAAGTGAAGATAGCTGCATTCACCTGTGGATCAGCTGCTGATGTGGGTGGGGTATGTTAGCTGGAAGCACTGTGAGAAACTGAGGTGGTAATGTTCTGTTAGCACTCATCTGGGGCTTCGTGGTCAGTAGAAACCCCTACATAAATTACATCATCTGATTTACTGTTCTGTAGGTCGGTTCCCTGGACCTTTACTGTTGTCTCTTGACTGGTATTTTAGTCCAAAAAGGGAGCAGGGGAGGGACCAGTACCTTGGTGATAGTTTGAGTACCTCAGTGTTTGGATTGCTGTAGCTGTTAAACTTGCTGTGCCAGAAGTTTCAGTCAACACTTAAAATATAGAAGCCCCCCCCCCCGCTTGTACAATGGTTGCTGGTGCCAGATTTAATATGCACATAGGCTAACATCACAGTAGGTTTTAGAACAATAGTTGAGTCACTTCCTTGTTGTGCGCCTGCCAAGGCCTAGTACTCGCTGCTGGATTTTCATAGTAACAGGTGACATCATTCCTGCCTAACTCTCGGAAAGGGTAGGAGCTCCCCAGGGTGTAACTAACACAGTCACCTGGTGCAGGAGTACAAATAGCTCACACTGGTTGTAGTTTCTTGGGTTTCGGCCTTAAAAAGAGCTTTAAAATTTTATTACTGTTCAGCGATCCAATTTTTTATGAGCACCCAAAAAAAAATTGATTAAACTTGTCAACTGATGTGTAAAAGAATGTATTATGGCTCTTTGGAATAGACTGATAGAAATGCACCTGTGAATGCCTGGTATTTGTGCTTCTAAGAAATTCAGATTACCTTAAGGCTTTGGAGTTCCACCTGTTCCATGATCAGTTCATAAGTTATCTTCATATTTTGTAAAACGGTACTATCTATTTAAAATGGATATTTATCTTCAAACAGCTGTGGAAGATGCTATTACACAGTGAGCTGGTCGGATTTGGGATCATCATACTAATGGGTTGTTGCATGCTGCTGCAGTTTCTTTGGGTTTTTCTTCCCTTTTTCCCTTGGCTTCTTTTGCACGTTCTGTGCTGATGGTTCCTCTTGGCTGCTGCTTTCTATTAAAAGCCAGTACTTGGAGGTAATATCAATAAAAAGTCATACCATTTAGATTGTGTTTTGGAAATGCACCTCATTTCATTTGAAGATAATGAAACAAAGCTTCTGTCACTGAGTCCAGTTCCTCACTGCTGAGGGGAAATGTGAAGTAGCTTACACTTATTTTTAAATTTAACTCTTGCAGTTGGCTGTTAAATTTTAATGTGCAATACTGAAACTAGCTGGTGTGGAATCTAAATGAGACTTTCGGAGAAGTAAGCCTGTTTTTATTGCTTATGAGTTGTAGTTTTAAAATGCTACAGCAACTATTTTTATCAGATTTCTTTTAATAAAGATTTAGTGGTGTTCTCCCTGTGGACAGCTTTTTCATCTCATCAGAGAATTAAGTTACAGATGCCAGATAAATTGCATTAAATGTCTAAGTGCAAAAGAGTTACTAAAATACTGTACTGATAGACAAAGGCCTTGAGTTATTCTTATGCTCCTATTTATAAGCTAGTTAAAATTTTCGGAAATAAATCTCATCTTGTCTAACCCAATACCTTTAAAAACATTGGGGGGTTTTAATACATCTGATTTTGCTGTGATAGGGAAGCTACCTCACAGCACTCATCTCAAATGTTTTGTTAATATTGTGCTAATCATTGCAGTCACTGTGGTGGTCCCTTTCCCACCTTTTTCCACTCAAAGTTAATGCGGATTATGGTATGCTTATCTCCTAGGTTTTAGTGAGGTCTTGGCTAAACAAGTCAGAATCGGGTGATTTGTTGGGGTATGGGGATCTAGCCATTTCGGGGGCTCTTGACAGCATTGTGCTAAGGTGCTGAAGCTCCCCATGGCTGTTAGATGCAGCAGTGGAATTAAACCAGAACACCTGTGAGGCCCATGGGGCAGCAGCTGTGCTAGCTGTGCTGAAAGCTGATTTGTGACAGCCGTGCTTCTTGATGCTCCTTCCTGGTGGTAAACACACTCTACTCAGTATTGCCAAAAAGGAGTTATTTTTAACATGAAAAAGACTTGGTGTGTGGAAGTTGCTGACGCAGCACCAAAGGTTGCAGAATTTCATGGTCCTGGCGGTTAGTGTATCGTCACTGGAAGGAGAGCACACCTGTTGTGCATGTGCTCTCTGAAAACTTTGAGCTGCATTACTAGTTTTGATGGACTTTTGCAGTTTTCTTGGGTAACTCAGAAAGGCCTCATTTTTTAAATGAAATCATGTCATAGCTAAAACAAATTTGAAGCAACACAATAGTGACTGTCATACCTGATGTATTTTGCAAGTATGTTTGATTCAGTATGTAATATGGTTGGTACATCTTGAACAAGTGATACTGCCTGGAGAGTTAGACACTCTGCTGAAAAACAATTTCTGTTCTTGCATGATTTCTATTTTTTGTTTTTAAATAAGGCTTATATGAGAACAGGTTTCTTGATTACCTGCTCGCTATTGTCCAAGTGTCAATGAAATCATGCTTCTGATACCTTGGTAGATAGAGAACAGCAGAAATAGGTGGGGAAAGTCCTATACAATAAAGATCCTGTTTTCAGGTAGATTCCTGGAGTAAAATGAGGAATGAAAAAACCAATGTTTGACACTGCTAGAATTGTTTAAATGGAATTTTGTGTGTTGTGTCAGACTATGGAAAAATGTAATCTGCAGAAAAGCAGTCTCCTTTTGTTAACTTTTTTCTACTCATCAGTTGGAGTTTAAATAATCCTGTAAAATAGGAGCTAATGAAGCAAGAATTGATTATGTAACTGGTATGTGTTTCAGCTCTTACCAGTATTTTTCTTGACTTTTGAGTTTTTCTAAATTTAACACAAGTTTTTGCTTTGAGGAGTAGGGATTACTGTCCTTGGCTGTATGTTTTGGAGTCTATTTTGATTGTATAACTTAAGCATTGAGCTTGTATTTCAGGTTAATGGACCTGATGGCATTCTGCAGAATGGAGCTGTGGATGATAATGTGGCTAAAACCAGCCAGCTTCTGGCAGAATTGAATTTTGAAGAAGATGAAGAAGATACTTATTACACAAAGGATCTTCCTGTGCATGCTTGCAGGTAAGACCTAACCTTTGCCTCAGGCTTATTATTTCCAGAGGGCAGGAGCACTTTGTGTGAGTGAAAGGTGTATGCTTAGAGGATTTTTGGATTTTGACAGCAAATTCCTTGGAGACAGCCATGTACCGGTAGAAAATGGTGCCCTCTGGTGAGCTCTTGTGTATGCTTACAGCTGCCATGTCCAGCAGGTCTTTGGCCTTCCTTGAGGAAAAGAAGTCTAAGCCAGCTGAGGGATGGTCATGGTGGGAAGTGTTAAAATATTTGTGACTCAGAGCAGAAGTTTAGCTTGTGTTTGATACTTTCACCAACACGTTTGTGACTCAGAACAGAAATTTAGCTCGTGTTTGATACTTTCACCAATACTCGTGTTCCCCAATTTTCACTTCTCCTTATTTTTGTGCACTACTAGCTAGTTTAAATCTTGTATTTGAATTTTCCTATAAGCAAGTGCCCAATCACTTCTGTTTTTTCATTTTTAATTCCAGTTACTGTGGTATCCATGACCCTGCTTGTGTGGTTTACTGTAACACCAGCAAAAAGTGGTTCTGTAACGGGCGTGGAAATACATCTGGCAGGTAAATGGTCAAATGATGGAAATAACAATAACCATCTTGTTTTAGAGTGTTTGTTTTGAAGTGGTATGATGGCTGTGACTTAGCTTTTGGTGACAATGGAAATTTAGTGACTTAAATCACTAAAAAAGAGGACAACATCCTCTTTAGCTTTTCTGCTGTTACCAATGTAGGCCTTCATCTCAGCAAAACTTAAATCACTTCTGTGAAGTGAGCTTGCTGCTGCTTCCCCCATCCTGTGTTCCTGGAAAGCAGAGCAGAACTGTGGAGCTTCAGGAGGCTTCTTTCAATTACCAGTAACATAAAAATAATTTTTTGCACGTTTCCTATTGTTTTACACTCATCTACCTTAAAGCATTCATGCACTGAGAAACCACTGGAACTGTTAGCAGTATCTTTGCTTGGATGAAAAGAGCCGAGATCTTACCGATGTCTGCCACGGTGTAAATAGATTTTGTTTGTGTCTCTTAATAACTGAGCTCATATATTAAGTTAGGACTTATTTTGATTTTCGTATTAACTTCATATAAATGTATGTGCTCTCTGGTTTCAGCCACATTGTTAATCATCTTGTGAGAGCGAAGTGCAAAGAGGTGACTCTCCATAAAGATGGACCTCTAGGAGAGACTGTCTTGGAATGTTATAACTGTGGATGTCGTAATGTGTTTCTCCTTGGCTTTATTCCAGCTAAGGCAGACTCTGTGGTTGTTTTGCTGTGCAGGTGAGAGAATGCCTTTGTTGGCATGTTTGTGTCAAGTCTGTTGCATAACCTTATTTCTAAAGGGCAATGCTTGCTTTTATTTTGTACCAAAATATATTTTATACTCTGATTTGCCACCATTTTTCCTTTAAATGATCTTATAGACTTCATGAATTATATACAAGTAGATAATGCCATAAAGAAACATACTGTTATGGTGGGCAGATGTCTTGGGTCTATAGAAAAGTATTCCTCCCAAATGAAGCAGTATGTAGTGGAAGAAAGGTGGCTTTCCCCCCTGTGATTTTCATATGTGTAAGAGTAACAGATCAGTTCAGGAGGTTACTCTGGAGCCTTGCTGGAATAGTGACTCTGTTACACAGTACGTTTTCCTGTCAGCTTGTGGAATCATTTGAAGATGACAGTGTATCGGAAATTGTTCTCTGATAAGTCCTATCAGAAATCATGATTTCATAATTGTATGTGTGTTTATTAAATGCTGTCACTTACCATGTATTTGACAGTAGAAGGTGTGTTTCTATGGAATGAGTTCTATTTGTTTAAACAACAGATGAGAAGTAATCCCAAGTGTTTTCTGATATATGTGTGCATAATCTTAATGGACTGTAACCACTTTCAAAGGTGAGTGTCATATTTAATATTTTAGATGCTGAAATTTTCAGTTCTAGAAACACCCAAGAAATACTACTTACAATACTGAGCCTTCCCCGTGTTGCAATAGCAAAATACGGGAACTAAAACATGAATTGGCCCAGCAGGCTAGGGTGGTTTTGTTTTTTCCTTTTAAGTGAGGCACTTGAGTTGTTTTAAGAGCATGGTAAACCTGTTTTTACACTTTGCATGGTAGACTTTTTCTTACACTTGTCTAATTTAATAATTTTTTTCAATATTTTGGTTGTGCAGGCAGCCATGTGCCAGTCAGAGCAGTTTAAAGGATATTAATTGGGACAGTTCACAGTGGCAGCCTCTTATCCAAGATCGCTGTTTCCTTTCGTGGCTGGTAAAGATTCCATCTGAACAGGAGCAGTTGAGAGCACGTCAGATTACAGCTCAACAGATTAACAAACTGGAAGAACTCTGGAAGGTATGTGCTGCTTTTCAAATACTGGTTGTATTTTACCAAGTGCTAATTTTGTGGTTTTGCGAAGGAGGGACAAGACTGTTTTAGCAACTGTGTAAGGCAGGGAACATACTTAGATCACGTGAGATTTAAATCTTGCAGATTTGACAAGCAATGCAACTGGGAATTGATCAAAGGATTGAGGAGATCATATATCAAAGCAGGAAGGTTTCACCCTTGGGTTCTTTAGTTCTGTTCAAGTTGCACTGTCAGGCAATCTGAAAAAACAACTTTCCTTCCCCATATCAAGTGTTTCACTTGTTTCTGCTTTAGTGACTAGCTGAGTAGGGAACTGTTAGTCCATGCTTGGTACTCAGTTACTGCTTTTTGAGAAGTTTTTCTGTGCATCCTGTAATGCATAACAAACCTGACTGGATGTGAGTGAGCATGACATACAGTGCCTCGGTGTAGTTTTAACAGGTTGTTATACCTTGATATAACTTCCTGTAGTAGTAAGACACAGCATTATCAGTCCTGTTGCACAGTGAGAGCTTGTCACTTTTTTGTACTTAAAATTTTGAAACAAAACATTTGTGCTTTAAATTCTAGGAAAATCCATCTGCAACCCTTGAGGACTTAGAAAAGCCTGGTGTTGATGAAGAACCACAGCATGTCCTGCTTAGATATGAAGATGCTTATCAATACCAAAATATATTTGGTCCTCTAGTCAAGCTTGAGGCAGACTATGACAAGAAACTCAAGGAGTCTCAGGTAATATACTTGAAATATGTCTGTTTGAGGGGCCTTCTGACCAGTTCTCTGGTATCAAACACATGGTCACTGTTCACAGAAGGAAGACTCAAGTGAAATAAGTGTCTTTGTTACAGTAGTTACAGTAGTAGTGGTGATGTACGATAACAGAGGGGAAAGAAAAATGTTCAGACTGAGGTTTTAAAAAAGAGCTTGAAACAGTTGGGAACTTCCCTATTTTCTGTGTTCAAAGTTTACCTTTCCAAGAACCATATTCTATTGTAGAACTGTGCAACTTGGCCACGTTCTTTTATGTTATCCTCATAACCTGCAGTTGCCTTTGTCAGTCGGAGTTTCCAGTCAAACTTGAATTATATGAGATCATGCGAGCACTTAGTGAATGTTTTAAAGGTAGGGGGAGAGAATAATGCAGATGGTGATTAGGACTTCTCATTAATTCTGTTCTACAAAAGAGTTACTTAGTTAATCTTCTGCAGATGGTGTGAATTCATTCTGTAAGAGTAAATACAGGTATTTGTCTATATTGTGACATTGGAACAGCAAGTCTGGTATTTCTCCACTATTTTGAAGTATAGGACAGTGAGGACGGTGGTAGCTGGCAAACAGCTCTTTAAGAACATAACAGATGCCTTTTCTTTACTGTTAGACCCAAGATAACATCACAGTCAGATGGGACCTGGGCTTGAACAAGAAAAGAATTGCTTATTTCACTTTGCCAAAGACTGATTCAGGTAATGACAGCTTGATTGATTGTATTGTTTTGTTTTTTTCTTTTTCTTTATGCCTGGTGAATAACATCGGTGTTTAAAGAACTGTCATGATCTGGCCTGGGATATAAGAAAGTTTTCTGTGTTGGGGATGGTTGTTCATTGGTGAATATTCTGAGTGTTTCTTCCTTCCTTTGTAGATATGCGTCTTATGCAAGGAGATGAGATCTGTTTGAGGTATAAAGGAGACCTGGCCCCTTTATGGAAAGGAATTGGTCATGTTATCAAAGTTCCTGATAGTATCCTTTACTTAGTGAGCCTTCAGGAAGGCTTAACTGAAGGTTGAAATCTCTCTGAGAAATCAGTAAATGTGTATAAAAGTAATTTTGAGATCATTTGAATTTGTCATGGGGATCTGCTAAAAAGAAATCAAAATTGGGAAAAATAAAATTCAAATTTTTGCTATAGATTACTACTTAACGAGGTTCTACAGATTATGGTGATGAGATAGCCATTGAGCTGAGGAGCAGCGTTGGAGCGCCTGTGGAAGTTACTCATAACTTCCAAGTGGATTTTGTATGGAAGTCTACTTCATTTGACAGGTATTGAGAAAGCACTTCAAAACTTGACAGATAGTGGGTGCAGTTGGTGTGCGTATTTTCCTTTACCTTCGGTGGGGAATTTTTGAAGAAGAAAAGTTGTCCTGTTTGTGACTAGTAATCAGAAATCTGAGTATGCCCAATGTATTGAGTCTTATGAACACATAATATCTGGTTCATAAGAGCAACAGGCCTAACTTTTACTAGAAACGGAATTAATCTGAATGCCATCAAACTGTCAGTTTTTCTCATTTTGAAGGCATGCTTAAGGTTTGTTGCAAATATGTTGAGGGAGGAAACTTACCTTATGTTTAGTAACACTTGGAATGTAAGAAGAAAAACTGTTTTGAAGTTCAGCTTCCTGAACACTGCTCCATCATGAAGTGCTCTCTGGTTTTAGTTGGCCTTCCTAAACTTTGAATTGTTTTAGCTGAAACTTCAAGGCATTTGAATTGGCTGTGGGGTTCAGTAGGCTTCAGACGTGTCTGTACTGCATTTTGTAAGACAGGAGTTTGCTTATTATCCTGAAAGAGATATACTGACTACAAATTTTCTTCAAATCTTGCACCTAAAATTACTATTGCAGATTCTGCCAAAGGCTGGTGTTTCCCTACCGATTTTTCTGGTTATAATACTTTGTAGTATTCACATTAGGGGAAAAACAAGATCTGTGTTCTCAGAGTCTTAACTTTTGTCTCTTAATTCTGTTAGTAAGTGTTCTACATTGTTCTCCTTTCCCAAGGTGTATTTTAATTTGTGCCTGATGTCTGATTAACCTTTGTGTAGGACACTTGTGGATAGCTGTATTTGCGGTCATACTGACTTTTTTCCTGTCCTTCCCTCATTTCAGAATGCAGAGTGCTTTAAAAACATTTGCTGTGGATGAGACTTCAGTGTCTGGGTACATCTATCACAAACTGTTAGGTCATGAGGTAGAAGATGTAATTATTAAATGCCAGTTGCCAAAGCGCTTTACAGCACAAGGACTTCCTGATCTCAACCATTCTCAGGTAACCTCATCTCCTTTCTACTACACGCAAAGAATATGATAAAGGATTTATGAATAAAGATGGAACAACTTTAACTTCCTATGCATTGAATGCTAAATAGCAATAAAAAAAAAAAATTTATAGGTTTATGCTGTGAAGACTGTCCTGCAGCGTCCTCTGAGCCTTATTCAGGGTCCCCCTGGTACCGGAAAAACAGTGACATCAGCCACAATCGTCTATCATCTGGCTAGACAGGGCAATGGGTAAGAACTATTCTCGCTAAATCTTTGTGTATGAGGTTACTTTATTAATGGTTGAAGAATTAACTTGATTTTACAATTAAAATAATTTGTGTCATTGAACTAAAAAGGCTTTCTAGAAATATTTATTTCTGGGAAGACTTGTGCTTATTTCAGAAAATATTCTTGCCTGGCATATTTTTAGGGGACAAGTGTTGTAACACATGATTTTATTAGTCTAGTGGAAAAAAGCTCACAGCTCATTGAGACTTACCACTTGCTTAATTTTTTTCAAGGCCTGTGTTAGTCTGTGCTCCAAGTAATATAGCTGTAGATCAGTTGACTGAGAAGATCCATCAAACTGGACTGAAAGTGGTTCGTCTGTGTGCTAAAAGTCGTGAAGCCATTGACTCTCCTGTATCCTTCTTGGCATTGCATAACCAGATCAGAAACATGGATAGGTAAGAAATGGTTGAGGGGGGCAGGGGGATGACAGAACCAACTTAAGTGTTGTGACGGACACAGCTGATTAACTGTGTAATGATGACAACATGTATTTGCTTGCTGGGATAACTTTTTTGGTTGTATACCCGTCACGTTTAGTTTTACCAGTGAGTTCCACTGTAATCTTACCAAGTTGTTAATTAGGCCATAAAGCAAAATTCCTTTTTTTTTTTGCAGCATGCCAGAGCTTCAGAAACTGCAGCAGCTTAAAGATGAAACTGGAGAACTGTCATCTGCTGATGAGAAACGTTACCGTGCACTGAAACGAACAGCAGAGCGTGAATTACTTATGGTAAGGTTCCATCAATTTTAGCAGCTTAAATAATTGCCTTCTCCCACTTGAGGCTTAGTTGCAATTTGCTGGTGGAGATCAGAGTACAATTTAACTTCTGGGGGGATTCCTGGAATGGTATTGGATACTATTCTGTGTAGAAATATTTTCTGTTGATATCCTTCTTGATTAATTTCAGTTGCATTTCTGTCTCAGAATGCAGATGTGATCTGTTGCACGTGTGTGGGAGCTGGTGATCCAAGACTTGCAAAAATGCAGTTCCGCTCCATTCTGATTGATGAAAGCACGCAGGCCACTGAGCCAGAGTGCATGGTGCCAGTTGTCCTGGGAGCAAAGCAGGTAGGAGCCATTGGATTTCATTAAAGAAAATAGAGCTTATCAATAGAGGAAGTAGCATCAAGCAGTAACAGTCACAGTGTAGGCACATAGGGATACAAAATCCTTTCCTTTCATGGAGGACGCTTCCATAATAGAGATCTAAATGACTTTATTTTGTGTTTGTCCTGTTAGTTTTCTGTTTCCATGGCATAATCTTTGCCTCAACCGTGTTGGTCCTGTTGGAACTATCTGGAGACTGAATAAGATTTTACTCGAAAATGATCAGCTGAGTAGCTAGTTGACACTAAAGGTTTATAAGCCTTAGATTAGATCTGGGGCTTATTACAAATTGGACTGATTAGTTCCAAATATATTTTGTAGTAGGATATTGCTATTGTTTTTAGCTGTTGGGCAAGCTTCAGAAAATATCAGCTGAGATGAAACTTTCTTTTCCACAGCTTATTCTTGTAGGTGACCACTGCCAGCTTGGTCCTGTTGTGATGTGTAAAAAAGCTGCAAAGGCCGGCTTATCTCAGTCTCTCTTTGAGAGGCTTGTGGTGCTGGGCATTCGTCCGATTCGCCTGCAAGTGCAGTATCGCATGCATCCTGCACTCAGTGCTTTTCCATCCAATATCTTCTATGAGGGTTCACTCCAGAATGGTGTTACTGCAGGTAAGGAAGAACAGTACTTCTGCAAATTACTTTTTCCATTCATTAAGGATCAAAGGAAGGGTTCTTTAATCTAGATGAGGTTTTTAATACATTCGCTTAAAAAGAGAACTGCCACTGCACTTAGTTTTGAGTTTTTAAGATGCTTTGATATGAAAATGAGTGTTCTTGCTTGTAAAGCAGTACTAACTTTTTTACTTACTGTTTTTGTGCTCTTCAGCGGACCGTGTGAAAAAAGGGTTTGATTTCCAGTGGCCACAGCCAGATAAGCCAATGTTTTTCTATGTTACACAAGGACAGGAAGAAATTGCCAGCTCAGGCACTTCTTACTTGAACAGGTAAACAAAATTCAACACTGAGATATAAACTTATTTTAAAATACTTTGTCCCAGTGTATCTCAAATGTAAGGGACATTGTTAAATGAATCTGTTAATGATCCTGTGACATCTGTTGGAGACAGTCACAATTAATGAAGTCAAGGGAAAGTATGATACACAGTTCCCACTGCAAACGAAATACCTAAGCATTTCTCTATCCTTCAGAATTTCTGCAATAAAACTCATAGGCACAAAATTCATAGTATTCTGTATTTGCCATAACTTGTGGTGCCTTGCGATGTGAATGAAGGCATAACAGCTAAATAAAGGCTTGGGTTTTCGAAGAAGAGTTACGTTCTCTTTTTGTGAAGCTGGTATCTGTACTTCAAATGGGCCAACCCACAGACCTCAGCTGTATTGTGTGCTGGGATACAGTACTTCAGTGCTATTGATTCTTATGTTTTGCAGTACGCCTAAATTAATAAATGCTGTTTCCTGTTAACAGCTGTGATTGAAATTGCTTGTGTGCTTTTTTTTAAATAAAAGCTGTCCTCAAGGATAGTGCAGGCTAGGCTGCATTTTGGAGTTGATTTGCCCCAGGCTCCCTTTAGAGTAAATGTAGAGAAAAAAGGCATTTCCAGTGGGAGCAGTTCAGATCTTAAGTGGGTTTGAATTGTTCTGTGGAGGCATGTTTCTTCACTAGTAGCATAAGGAACACAGGACAATTTAGGTGCCTACTATGTGGGATGAATTTGGGCCAGCAAGTAAACTGACTGCAGTTGCAGCAGGAAATGCTGATCAAGTCCCATTTTGAAGCCAAAATTCCAATAGCTCCTGAAGCAGAGTCCTAAGTCTTAGATTTTGGCGGGGGTGCGAAAGGGATGGGAACTTAATTTTCTTTTTTCTGTCCCTTTTTTTCTGCACATTCCAACTTCCTTTTTCAAAGAGTGAGCTTGAAACATTTTGCTCCTCTTGGTTGTATGCATTTGTTCATGTGCCTGGAAGGGAAACCAGACCAACTTATGAAAAATATCTGCTGTGATATTTTTAATCTCTGTCTGTTTCATGAACAGCATGTGCAAGACTGCTGAATGTGGCATGCCAGATTGTGCACAAACAAATGGCACAATAGTTGGCTGACAGGGAGGTTGGCATTAAAAACATTCTATATTTAAAACTTTAAGATAAAGCAACTGAAGGATCTGTTTGCACAGCAGGCTGGAACATTTTTAATGATCTCAAAGTACATGTGTACATTTAACTCTACTCAGAAGTTCCATTTCAGAGTGATGGCCACCATTAACTTTGCTGTTCTGGGAAGTGTAGTCGTGTAGTTCTGAGAAAGTGGAGGTGTACATCAAAGAGAAATTTCTGTGTCATTCTGAGACCTTTTCTTTGAGGTGTTGGCTTTTGCCTGTATTCCTTTGAGAATATCTATGCATGGCCAAAGTCAAGAGGTGGTAGTGGTGAGCGCTCCTGCAAAGCTTAAGCCAAATTAATTGGAGTGCTCGAGCAATGCAGTGTAAAATTGTTCTTTTCCTTGAAGTATCCTTTCTGACAAAAGGCTAGCACAGCATGTATGTTGAAGCTTTTTAGACACTTTAACTTGCAAAAAGTTAGACCTAATGCCTTGATTCTCCTTAGATAAACAAATCTTTCTTTCTAGGACGGAAGCTGCCAATGTGGAGAAGATAACTACAAAGCTATTGAAAGCTGGTGCCAAACCAGATCAGATTGGCATTATTACTCCTTATGAAGGTCAACGATCCTATCTGGTGCAGTACATGCAATTCAGTGGTTCCTTGCATACAAAGCTCTACCAGGTATGGAGTTGTTGCACAAATGAGAACACTTGGGTGCAGAGAAGCTAGAAAAGACAGATATTGTGAAACTTCACAATATTTTAATTTTTAGTCTGGCTTCTTAGGCGTCAGTCTGTGTTTATTCTCTAGTAATTTTAGAGTGCTTTAGTTGATTGTAGTTAAAATAGATCAGGGAGAAGAGTTTCGGGGGTATCAAATGCCAGTAAGTGTCAGGGGAGCAGTTGGCCAGATGAAGGAGAAAGCCCTGTTGAGGTCTCTGAAAGGAAGGCTTCAGTGAGTCCATCCTCTGAGGACTCATTGAGGCCCAGAAGGGAGAGGTCATTAGTGCTTCAGCTGTGGAAAAGCATCAGTCAGCTTGTGTCTTAGATAAAAGCATCAAGCCAAGAGACATGTGGGAAACCAAGCTCCATAAATTCTGATGGTCATACTGTTTTATTTGCTTGGGAATACATCCTCCCATCAGTGGAACTCCTCTACCAAACATTAAAATTTGTTGCTACAAACAAGGCGGTTGTATATTTAATGTAGTCTGTTTTGCCATATTGAGAACTTGGTCAGTGTTTTCACTGAAGGAAAACTTGGTGGAAATACTTTTACTTCTGCCAGGAATAATTTGTCCCTCTGATTCAGGTTTCTTGGTAGCTGGGAGCAGCAGTGCTAATTTGGAGCTGTCTTACTACGAGGATTTGGAAGAGTCAGAAGTCTTTTTGGCAGTATACCCAGAAAAGGGATGCTTTCCATAGTGCAAATGCCAGTTTTGGGGAAATATGAGAACCATAAAGCAGCGAACATAAAAGTAACTTGTCCTGAACTGAGACTGTCTGTTCTCCTTTAGGGAAACTATTTAGCGACCAGTGGAATTATCAAGTCATTTGTCATTACAAAAATAACATTTTTGCCAAATGATGGGAACTGCTAGTGCATGGCCAAAGGATTTTGTAATGCCTGTTGGTAGCATAACTGTTTTGCACTGTGCTTCCGTGATTTACATGTTTTCCTCTGTTTCAGGAAGTGGAAATTGCAAGTGTGGATGCCTTCCAGGGCCGAGAGAAGGACTTTATTATCCTTTCTTGTGTGAGGGCCAATGAACACCAAGGAATAGGGTTTCTGAATGACCCCAGGCGTCTTAATGTAGCCCTTACAAGAGCAAGGTGAAGTAAAATTGGGCAAATTTTTACTTATTCTAGAGACCTAATTCTGTCTGCTAAAGCATTGATAACAGTCCAACTAACAAAAGGTCTGTGTTTTGTGGGTAGCAGGCCCATTGTCCGCCCGGTTTAAGGGAGCCTTGAATGATTTCCACATTACCTACAATTTACAAGAGCAATTTCAACATAGTGTTACCATTTGGCATTAGCAGTTTGTAGAAGCCACCATGTCGTTCCCCTTTGTTTGCAGGACAGAACTCTTCCCTTCATCTGCTTCTTTATCCCTTCCAGCAACCTTTTTTTTTTCTTTTTACCACTTTGCTTCTCTTAAAATGGATTTGATTACTGAGAAGGGTAACGTGGAGCCAATACTATGCTGGTTGGCTTCTTTGGTTTCTGCAAACTTTAAACCAATACAATGTGGTTGGTTGAGTACACTGACATGTTTGGCAAGCCTGCAAAAGGAAGCTTGTGATTATTGAGAAAGTGGCTGCAGCAATCTCCTTTCAAGTGCTTTGTCATATTACAGAAATCATCTGCTGTAAACAAACCCGTTGAGTCAGGGTCTCCTACACCTACCATCATGGGCTCCTGCTAGCTGCCTGGATTTACTGCAAAAGGGATTGACTTTGAGGCTGTTCTGACGTTAATAGGTATCATGGCTTTATTTTTAGTCAAAGTTAATTCTTGTTTCTGTCTGCTGTTGTACAGGTATGGAGTAATTATTGTTGGGAACCCAAAAGCACTGTCTAAACAACCACTTTGGAATCACCTGCTGAATTACTACAAGGAGCAGAAAGTTCTGGTGGAGGGACCACTGAATAACCTCCGGGAAAGCCTCATGCAGTTCAGCAAGCCTCGGAAACTTGTCAATACCATCAACCCAGTAAGTTGACCTCTCCTGTCTCTCAGATGTTTGTGGCATGAAGCAGTTGGGGGTTGATTGATCAGTTATAAATGGATGGAATAAACAAGTCGCCCACATAGCCTCACAGACCTGTAACTTTCCATTTTTGTTGCCTAGTTAATGCAGTGTGACCCAATAAGTTGCTGTTTAAACTTCATATACCTCAAAATAGACTGAAAATGCATCAAGTGTTTCACAGTTTGAGATAGGCTGCCTGTAGAATCTTTTTTTTCTTGTTGTTATGATGTAGTTGAAATGATAGTTGGATGTTTTCCATGTATTAGAACTAGTTAGTTTCCTCAGCACTTGTAAAGTATGTATTACCTGTGGAATTTAACTGGATTTTTACCCAAAATAACTTACACTGAAGTTGCAGTGCAAAGTTTTCTATGCAAAGGCTTTGTCTAACTCCTGTAATGCTTCCAGGGTGCCCGTTTCATGACTACTGCCATGTATGATGCACGTGAGGCTATTATTCCAGGATCTGTCTATGACCGGAGCAGTCAAGGTAAAGGAAGATACCAAAATTAACACTTCAGTAGATTCCCCCCCACCCCGCCCCCCTAGCTAGTCCTTGGGGTATGGTATCTTACAGACTTCAAACTTTTACATGTTTGAAGAGCCGCTACAGAAAAATACAGAATTTAAGAACTAGAAATGTTCGTGATGTGCCTGGATTTTGCTCTCTGTATATAGAAACCCCTACAGTCTAACTTGATGTCTGCAAAGCAAGTAAAAATGAGGGGAAAGGGAGTGTGTGTGTGTGTGTCTTTAAGTGTTTCAGGATTCTTAGATGGTGCTGTAGAAGAGTAACTGTGTAGGGATGAATATCTGCTAGATGAGTCTCTGAAACTTTCAAGTGTGGAATAAATGGTGAACTAGAAACACTGGTGGTTCTTGGCAGCGGTAGACTTGTCCTTTCAATTTCTGGTTCTCATTTATCCTGCTCACAAGTCCTCCCATTACTGTTAAAAGCAGGAATCAAACTGATTTTTAAATATTCGGGATGCCTGAAATCATTGTGGCTTTTCTTCCCCTCCCCAGGGCGCCCATCCAACATGTACTTCCAAACCCACGACCAGATCGGGATGATTAGTGCCGGCCCCAGCCACGTCACTGCTATGAACATTCCTATCCCTTTCAACCTTGTCATGCCACCGATGCCACCACCGGGATACTTTGGCCAGGCTAACGGACCAGCCGCAGGTATGGGGCAAGGGTGAAATGGTACAAAAGCCACAGTTTACATCTGAAGCTGGAGAGGGTTTTTCTGCTACTCTTCCAGCAGTGCTTGTGAGAGTAGATAATGATGTGCTTCGGTAATAAATCTGAGTTGTATGGTGTACAAATGCAATAGATAATACAAACGCAGCTTCCAGGGAGTGTCGCTTTGCCATGTCTACGCTGGTGGTTCTGCCTGAGTGCATCTAAAACACTGCCTCTTGCAAGTGATCAAGTCTCTATAGATCTCACATGTTTGCATGTGTAAGACTTCTCACTGTTGGTTGGAATAAATGCTTTTCCAGGACGTGGGGCGCCAAAAGGAAAGACTGGTCGTGGTGGGCGCCAGAAAAATCGTTTTGGGATTCCTGGAACTAGTCAGTCAAACCTTCCAAATAGTCAAGCGAGCCAAGATGTGGTGTCCCAGCCTTTCTCCCAGGGTCCACTGACTCAGGGGTATATCTCCATGAGTCAGCCATCACAGATGAGTCAGCCTGGGCTCTCCCAACCAGAATTATCACAGGTAAGCAGAATTTGATTTATAGTCTGCTCTTTTTCCTGGCTTTTATGTCGGTGATATGGGTGCATGCACATTCTTGTTTCTTAGTACTGAGGAAAATGGAAGCTAAAACCCATTTTCAAGGACTTGGCCACAGCATTTCATACTCTTCCACTTGGTGGACTTTCTAAGTATACTCAGGCATAAAAGTGAAATGTTGCATGTATAGACTTCAACTTCGAACTGCTTGCCTGTTCAGCCAGCTATCGCAAAAACCTTTGTGGCAATTGTGCAGCAAAAAGAGTAGATTTAAAAAAAACCAACCAACCAAAAAACCCCACCAAAAAAAATCCCCAACAGAACCTCTCAGACTTTATCATTAACCTTGGCTGCCAGGTATTCTGCTTTGTAAGGGAGCACTTGAGCTTGATCATGAGTTAGAGGCTTAATACACACTTTCATTTTCAGGACAGTTACCTTGGTGATGAGTTTAAATCTCAGATTGACGTGGCGCTGTCACAGGACTCTACTTACCAGGGTGAACGTGCATATCAACATGGCGGAGTGACGGGACTGTCACAGTATTAGAGTGTAAGGCACCTGAGGTTCACTCCTCTGCTTCTTACTCCCCGATTTAAGTTCATGAACACAATGTCTGTCTTAAGAGTGACATTCCTAACGCAACTGTTTTGCTTTCTTGCTTTCAGGTTGAGGAAGAAGAGCTAAGCTTGTGTGGAGCTTAGTTCATCAGCATTTTATTCTGGGTAATAAAAAAAAAAAATAAAATGGATACCTGTTTTCCACTGCTAAAACTGAAGCACCACTGTGTGAGAGCAACAGGAGAAAGAAACCAACCAACGGAGAGGAGAGAGAGAGAAAGGAGCGCGCGCGAGAGAGCCCACTGCTAGCTCACTGAGACAAGGAGACTGACCGGAGAGGAGAGAGAGCACCGAAGGACTGGCTGGCGCCTCACTGGGAAGGCAACTCACCCTGAAATGAGTGGTCAGCTGAGTCCCTGCTCCCCCAGTCAAACAAGCTCGAGAGAAGGGCCTTAAGCAGGTTTCACTTCATTCCATACTTCTCTTTGCGAGCAGGGCATTACTTTTCAGAGCAGATGGGGAGAGGAAAACCCTCATCTCAGAGTTGTTCTCCTTTTAAAGGGGTACTATATTTTAGCAGAAACTGTTTACATTTTAGAAGCAGAGTATCTTGAGAAGAGAGAGAGAGAGTTCCTGACTAAGTGACAGCAAGCCAAGCAGAAATCCAGCGGAACATAGCTGATGCTCAACTCTGAGATGCAGGTTTTGTTGTCCAACACTGGCTCTGAAATCCTAGTGTCATCGTGTCGCCCACATTCTGAACGGGTCTTTTGTGACAAGGTGGTTTTAAAGAGATTCTTTCAAAGGAGCACTGAATTTTTAGAAGTTTGTCTCTGAATTCTTAGTGGTGGACCTGGGAGATCCTTGTTCTGAGAAGCTTACAAAAAGTTTAAAACTAAATTAGAGCACCAACCTTGAGAACTTTCAGTGTGATTAAAAGTTGCAGCAATCAGCCTCTTCTTCCTACATTGGATAGCAGTTAGAGTGAAAGGAGCCTGCGCGCTCGAGCGGGAGGAGGGTTTCAAAGTGTTTTCTGTATGCTTTAATTGGCTACTGTCTGGACTCTACTCTGTGAAAAACAAGCCTTTCTGTAAGATGAACTTTGTGCTTGAAAGGGGATGGGTTCCTGTGCCCTTCGGCCCTGGAGGAAAAGATGCTAACAGGCCTGCTTTACTTGCTCCCTCAGATCTGGGGAAGAAGTAGTGGAAACTGGGGATTATATTGGTTTTGAAGTAAAGACTCTACAATGTTACCGAAGCAGGTTGGGAAAATGGACAAAGCAGGCAGTTGTTGGAAGGTGGCCTCTGATAGCTGGGTATAATTCGAGATAATGGGTTAGGCTTTTGTGTGGCTTCTTCGGTGATTAATGCAGATAGCTGAAAGATTCAGGTGTTGAAAACCAAACCCGGAGCCTATTTTTCAGGTAGTGGACACGGCTGTGCCATCAATGCTGGCTTGAGAAATAGCTGGAAGTCAAAACTGAAAACAGCACATAAGAGAAGCCATCCAATTTCTAAGTTGTACCCATGTCTTAAATAAGTCATATGGGAACACTGGGAGCATTTTATTTCTGTCTAAACCTTTTTAGAAACAGCGCAGAGAATTTAAAATTCCTACAGACCCATTTTTATCAGATCCCTAAATTAGACTAACCTCTACCTCCCAATTGGCAAAGAACAGTAGAGTGTGATTCACTAACCTAGGTGTTTTTAAAGTTTGAATTAAGTTAGCTTTATACTCAAAGGGCTCCAAGTGTTTCTAGTCTTTTTTTTGGGGGGGAACTCAAAATACCTCTCATATGAATGTACTTAAATGATGTAAAACCCACTTTTTGTAACTGGGGGGGAAAGCCCTTTCATTACTGTCCTTTCTGTAGATCGTTGACCCGCTTTCATAACCTGTATCTGCTGTAGTTTTTCAAGAGTGTCTCTCCCCCAGTGCAGACCTGGTGTAGCACACCCACAAACCGTGAGTAGCGTGCACATAAACATGGAACAGGTGTTCAAAATTTTCTTTCAGTCCTGCAGCGAACGTAGTTCAAGAACTGCAAAAGAAACTTTCCAGAAATGAAAACCATTCTTTTCTCATAAAAAGCCTCCAGAGTTTAGACTTCTAAAATGTGAAAGAATGGAGACACAGGCCACCTTCCTTCCTTGTAAGATGGACTGTTTTATTTATGAACATTGCCGAAGGGCTTTTTAATTTTTTTTCCTTCTGTAGGCTGCATAGTTGCATAGACTTTTCCGATAGGTTTAAGCTGTAACCCTCTGTGCAATGCAATCCATTAAGTAAAGTAACCCCCTCCTCTCCCCTCACCCCCTTCATTTCACTGATGGGAATGCTTGCCTCTGCTTTGTGCTGGTTTTTTCCTTTGTAGCAGTTACTCTGTTTTATAACCCAGACATCAGTGCTAGCACGGCGTTACTCTTTTTTGATTTTGTCTCAGTTTGTTTTAAACCTGTTTGTCATCAAAAAAATATTAATAAACAGCTCTTGCATTCAAGGTGGCCCCTAACTTTCAATGATGAAACCATGCAACATTCATTAAAACTTAGCCTGATTGTATAAACTTCCACGTTTATTACTTTTTTTTTTAACACAGACTAGTACAAAAGTGTGGTGTCTGCATAGCATACATGGGTAAGCAAATGAACTGTGAAAACTCTGTTAAATGCCCTACCCCCTTCCCTCCTCTGGCTCAAAGGGGCCTATCCTGAGCCTGTGCGGGGGGAGCCGCAGGAGTGACGAAGGGCTGGCTCCGGAGGCGACCAGTCCAGCCTGGAAGATCTCCTCCCTCCACATCCCCTGCGCTGCGGTAACCATGAACATGGCGTTTACCTGTGTTACAGGCGGTTGCTCAGCAAAGCTCGGCGTGGGCCCTGAGACAACCCTGGCTGTCCCAGGAGTGGCTCAGCAGCTACTGAAATGCAGTGTCAGTGTTTAGACCTGGTCCTGGCACCACCCTGTGCGTGTAAGCTCATGACAGCGACTCCAGGGCTGTCTCCGTGTCTGCTCACTGCTGTAACCTACCTCCTTATGCTGCTCCCCAGGCTCTTAGCGCTTGGAAGGGGTGATGGAGGGGGGCAGTCCCCCTCCCTCATGTTGGAGAGCTGGGTAAGCAGCCTACTGTACCCACTCCACAGCACAGGTACAAAAAGCCATAATACTTAAAGGTTTTCCTAATCCTGCCCATCTTAAATTAGAAAGAACAGCTTTAGTTAAGTCTTATTCTAAGCCCTTAAAACATTTAAGTACTTGAAATGGGTTTCAGCATTGCTCTTGTTCAGCTGCTGGAGTAAAGCAGCCCTGGAGCTCTCTGCTAGTCCATGGCGCTGTCAGAAAACACACTGGGATGTGAAAACAGGTAGTATGCTACACAGCTAAGGTACTTGAGCTACTCCAGGCTTGGCCTTCAGCTACACAGTTCAGGGGTGTTAGTGAGAACGCTCACGGAGGACAGGAAGACATTTTCTCTGCAAAGCCAACAGTGGTTAAACCTTTAGTACTTCCCTGGAGGGATAAGGCCCAGCTTAGCTTGGTAATACTTCATCAGACCTTGAAGACAATACAACATTGGTACAAAAACAACAACAAAAAATAATCTACGCTATGTTGTCAGATTCACATTAAAAACCAAAAAACACAAAAAATTCAAGTCTTAACTCAGATTTGTTTTCTGTTCCCCCCTTGCCCCAAAATAAAAAGCAAAGCTGCAGGTGTTGTAGGAGAGCCTCACCTGGGAGGGCTGGAGCTGAACCCCAGCCCAGGGGCAGACTGTTCAACACAGCAGCTTTGCCAGGGGTTCAAGCCTCCAGCTGCTGTAAGAACATGCAGCCCGCCTGCGGAACAGGGGGAGGGAAGCGGCGGCTCCGCTGTGGGCGATCACCGTTGCTCAGAGATGGGGCAAAGCTGGGTCCCTGCCGCACAGCGCCGCTAGCTCGTGTTAGTGGCGTTAAACAGATGCGGTCCGAGCACGGTCATGCTACTGCAACGGGCTGAGTACTACAGCCAACAACAACAAAAAAAAAAACAAACCAAACCCCAACCCAAACCAACCCCGAAATGCACAACTGTATGAATGGGTGCCTGATGGGTCAGGGCTGTAACGCGGCTGTGCTGTGCGGCGCTGCCCTTGCCTGATGCTCGGCTGCCACCTGGCTCCAGCGTGGCTCAGCCTGGTCCTGCAGCGGCCACAGGACACGCTGGTCTCATCAATTTGCAAATGAGGTAAATTAAATACTGACACAGCGGGCTGGGAGGGAACAAGATGCCACCGACTCCCCTGCACCATCCCGTGCCCACCATCAGGGCACCGCATCCCCCCCGCTTTACCTTTTCTTTCCTCAGCCAAAAACCATCCATCCATCATGCAGCAACCTGCCCTGCAGCTCCCACGGGCCGGTTCGGACAAAACCTCCGCAGCTGCATTTGGCCACCTAGCACTTCCAAACCACGTACACCCTGCCCCCCAACACACACTAAAAAAAAAAAAAAAAAAAAAAAAAAAAAAAA